TTTATTTTATTTTATTTTATTTTATTTTATTTTATTTTATTTTATTTTATTTTATTTTATTTTATTTTATTTTAATTTTATTTTATTTGTATTTTTTTAATTTTTATTTTAATTTTATTTTATTTTATTTTATTTATTTTATTTTAATTTTATTTTTTTTATTTTATTTATTTTATTTTATTTTATTTAATTTTAAATTTTATTTTATTTTATTTTATTATTATTTTATTTATTTTATTTTATTTTATTTTATTTTATTATTTTATTTTATTTATTTTATTTTATTTATTTTATTTTATTTTATTTTATTTTATTTTATTTTATTTATTTTATTTTATTTATAATTTTATTTTATTTTATTTTATTTTATTTTATTTTATTTTATTTATTTATTTTATTTATTTTATTTTAATTTTATTTTATTTTATTTATTTTAATTTTTAATTTTTATTTTATTTTATTTTATTATTTTATTTATTTTATTTATATTTTATTTTATTTTATATTTATTTTATTTTATTTTATTTTATTTTATTTATTTTATTTTATTTTAATTTTATTTTTATTTTATTTATTTTATTTTAGTTTTATTTTTAGATTTTATATTTTATTTTTTTTTTATTTTATTTATTTTATTTTATTTTAATTTTATTTTATTTTATTTATTTTATTTTATTTTATTTTATTTTTATTTTATTTTATTTTATTTTATTTATTTTATTTTATTTATTATTTATTTTTTTATTTTATTTTATTTTATTTTATTTTATTTTATTTTATTTTATTTTATTTTATTTTAATTTTATTTTATTTTATTTATTTTAATTTTATTTTTTTATTTTATTTTATTTTATTTTATTTTATTTTAATTTTATTTTATTTTATTTTATTTTATTTTATTTTTATTTTATTTTTATTTTATTTTATTTATTTTATTTTATTTTATTTTTTATTTTATTTTATTTTATTTTATTTTATTTTATTTTATTTTATTTATTTTATTTTATTTTATTTTATATTTTTTAATTTTATTTTATTTTTTTTATTTTATTTTATTTTATTTTATTTTATTTTATTTTATTTTATTTTATTTTATTTTATTTTATTTTTATTTTTAATTTTATTTTATTTATTTTATTTTATTTTATTTTATTTTATTTTATTTTATTTATTTTATTTATTTTTATTTTATTTTATTTTTATTTATTTTATATTTATTTTATTTTATTTATTTTATTTTATTTTATTTTATTTTATTTTATTTATTTTATTTTATTTTATTTTATTCATACGGGCAAATATTGTTTGTAGATAATTAACATAGAAAGGCCGGTTATGGTATTACTATGTTACCTTGGTTTTGAACACCTTGTGGCTCAGGCATCCAAGGTTTTGAAAGTTACAAGCTCCCTCCCTTCATTCCAAATTACAATGTCGCAATGCACAGACGAAAACAAGTGGCTAATTTTGGATGGACGTGGAAGGATTAAAATTCCAACTTAACCTGAGGAATTTTTCTCTCGACCTGTAAATCTACTGTACCTACTACATTGAAATAAGGAAAAAGCCTTATTCCAGATTCGTAGTTTCTGTGTTATAACTAACATTTTACTTGTATGTAATAAAGATAAGATTAATTTGTAATAATTATTATTAATCATAAAAGCATTAAAGATGATAGAGGAAATCTCAAAATTCTAATTAACGTAAAACGAACATTTGATCTTTTTGTAAGATGTAAAACAAGATAAAAGTCAAACCAGTATTAGATCTTGAATGTATTTAATGATAAAAAGTAATATGATTTCAAGTCAATTAACAGCGGCTCTGTTCTTTTTCTGCTTTGCCCATTTTAAAACTATTTGCTGCAGATCAGTTTTATATAAAGTATCTCTTTCGCAATTTTGAAGCATCAAGGAATTGACCATTCTATCTTTTGTTCTTGCTCGAAGGAAACATTTTACAATTTTTAGAGGGCTAAATCTCCTTCGTTTTTTGCACCTGAAAATGGTGATCTAGGTGCAAGTGCATCTGCTCGTAAGATTCGTAAGATGAAACATTCTTCTTTGATCAAATAATTCTGCTGCAGCTTCTGCAATGTTTTGTGGCTTCTCATCAGCTTTATCATAACAAATTATGATGAGCGTTAAATAAGTCTACAAGGAACAAGGAGAGCTTAGCCAGGGGCGGACACTTGTTCAAATATTGGGGGGCAAGCCTATTGTTTTAATAAGATGACGTCACATGTCCCATTGTTCTAGAACAAAAGACCATTGTCCTCTGAAGTATTGGGGGGGGCGGTCGCCCCCTCGCCCCCCAAGTGTCCGCCACTGAGCTTAGCATACACTCGTCAAAAAGAGTTGGAAATTTGTAGTAATGAAAGATTCTTAAAATATTCCCACTTTCTCGTAATTTGACTACTCGTAAATTCTAAAAATATTCCTACTTTCATTTTTTCTGCTCTATACAGGATATAATTTTTTCAAAGCTGCAGGCTCAATTAATACTGATAGTAAGATTTAGAAATGTTATCCGGAAATTCACCTTGCCTGTTCAAAATTATTTAATTCAACTTAACCCCCGTCAAATATTTGGTCATAAGTGTAAGAAAAAATTCCAAGTGAACTTTTTAGTTTTCCAACTACAATAAGATTTTCCAAACTTTGGAGGGGGGGGGGGGGTGTCAGGCCTCCACACGCTCCTATTATTTACGTGCCTGTCGCAATGTCAATCTTCAATTCAATGTTGCATTCCGAATTCGAATTTTGAAATCCAACATAACTCCTAATTTTTATCGGCATCAACGTTGAACGATGTCAAACAACTTCAGACGTGTTTGCATTGTCTGCACTGCGTCTGTGTTTACCCCTCCACCTTCAAATAATCCCCTTCATCGAATAAGCCTCCACCCCAAGATACTTTCTGTGAAATTAGCCCCCACTCTCAAATAAGCCTCCACTGACGGAGGTATTGCCTCGACAGAAATGGGTTTATCCCAATATATCTTCATTTTTAAGCACACTCGCCAGCCTCAAATAGAGGAAAAAAACTTTAATGAAGTTTTTTGGCCCCGATGAAGCCCCGTATGCCGGGCCGAAATATTAGCCTTCATTAACTTACGTGTATTTACCGTAAATCCTCGAATTAGCCCTCTGGGGGGCTTTTTTATTTTTGATATATTTTTGGATGGGGGCTTTTTCGAGGGGGCTATACGAGGGAGGAGGCTTATAAAATTATTGTAGACATCAAGAAGATATTATTGAAATACCTCATTTATTTTCCTTGTTAAATTTCTTTATGAGCATTTAATTAATTACTACCAAAAGTATGAATTTGTTTGTGGTAATTCAATAAAACGCCATAGGCAACCTCAGATGGCAAAAATCATCAAATTGAGGGTTCCAATTTGAGAATTTACGGTAGCAGTGGGGGCTTATTCGAGGGGGGATTGTTCGAGGGGGGCTTATTCGAGGGGCTTATTGACAATTTGTAGTTCTAGGGTGGGGGCTTATTCGAAGGGGGGGGGCTTTTTCGGGAGGGGGGTAATTCGAGGATTACGGTATTGTAGTTCATTCACGTCGCATTGCGGTGTTTCTTATTTGCTAAATAGGCTCTCACCTTCAAACTTGGGATATTTCAAAACTGGACGACGGAGGACTTTTGCAAAATCATTTGCTATTGGTCCTTAATGTATCCTTGCCCCCTCCCTCTTTTTCATATACCTTTGTGCACAGGGGCGGATTCAGGGTGTCGCACAGGTCGCACGGAAGACCGTCAGATTTTCAGAATATAGTTTTAGTCTTTAGTCATTGAAATAAGGCAATCATGTTTTCCACAGTTTTCAAGTTTTATTTTCCTCCTTACAGATAATACATTTATCTCTTTTTACACAATAAACACAGGACCGAACTTGGTCGATATCACGCACAATGCTACGATTCAATTCAATATAGAAAAAATTCAAAGACCATCCTAGACCGTAAACAGTATGATCTTTAAGCATGTCGCCCGTGCCGCACCAATATGCAGGGCTCTTTGTTATGCAAATATTTTACCAAATCTAACCAATCAAAGTTCAAGTTTTCACATATTTGTGCGGCACAAAAAGTCTGTAAACACTATGTTATATTACTGTGCCGCACAACTGCTGGAATGGGAGGACAGTGGATGATGTTGGAAGTTGCGAAAAAGAAAAATCCAAATTTTCTTTATCTATACGGAAGAGGTGCACAGGAAGTGTACACTGCTTAATATCAAGATATTTTGTTTCAACTGCGTGTTGGATTTGCTGGAAAATTTGGAAAACCTTTTAAAAGGGCAAAGTGTTTGACTGAACAATTTGAACGTTTCAGGGCCCAAGTCCCGTCGTCACACTCAAAACTACTACAAGGCCTGCAAACCTCGTTGGTAAAGGGAAGGGCGTCCATTTAAGGCGTTTCATCGATCAAAGTGTATCAGTCTTGCTTAGCGGGACATATCGCAGTTAGAAAGTTTACACTTACAAGACATGAAAATAATATTCTAGACCAAAAATCAAGATGACTTTCTTGAAAAAGGTGAAATTACTCCTTTTATTTATAATGGTTGAAAAAATCGACATTGTGAGCTTGAGGGTTCTTGCCTTTAAAATTAGACCTAGTTGCTATGGTTCCGGGGGGCTGGGTCCCCATCACGGCTCCACCCTTGACAATGAGGGAGGCCCCCTAGATCACCTGCTGGGTAGTGTTAATGTGCGACCGTCAAATAAATTTGCTTCCCTTCCTTTGACTTTGGCTTCCCCAGCTTCCCTTCCACTTTCAAGGAAAGCTTCTGGCGTTTCTGAAAAAACATACTTTCTAAAAATATCCGCTTTTCGCTTTGTCCAAAAGCTACGAAAATTCTTGTGATATTCAATCGCTGTGGTGTGGCCATCGTTCTAATAGAGCAGCTCTATTGTCCAATGCTCGTATGATTGATTATTGGACTTTGACCTTGACTGCACGATCTCTATATCCCTTTGAGTAAAGCCGCACAGTTGTAGTTGTAGGGCACCCTTGCGTATCAGAGGTTTGGTAAAAGAGACACGCTGCCGTGAAAGAAAGACAAGGTAAATTTTTCTTCTGATATGTTTATGAATTTGATGGTAAAAATTTAGGCTAAAGTTGACCAATCATTTAAGGTGGATGTATACATTGATGAAACAATTTTGGAAAATGTTAAAAAATATTATAACAACAAGGGATACTAGCTTGAAACTTTATACAAGCAATGAATAATAGTTTACACATAAAAATATTAATTGAAAATTGGGTGTGGTCTTTTAGTTTCTATGGAAACCCTTTAAACATGGCGACGACTAGAGTTCTTTTGGCAAATAGTTTGGAAAAAGTAATTGACCAATCATTCCAGTTTTTGCACAGAGTATATAACAAAGATAGTTCTCTGCAATGAGTGATTAAACTTTTCATTTTGCACAATTGAAAATAAAAATTGCCAAAAAACATTCATTCTGATCAAAAAAAAATTTTTTTGCCTCAAATGCAAATTTTCAATCACTCATTGCATAGAGCATTTAAAACTGTACAAGACCTCAAAATTTGGTCAGTATATGTTAATCTAGGGAGAAATTACAGTAGCCACAACTCAACAACACTCCGTAAATTTAAAATTTGAGAAAATCGCAGTTAAAGTTTGTTTTAAATGTTACAGGTATTTAGAAATGAGATTCTAGAGAAAATCTAGATATTACAAGTTCCTGCCTCCCTGAGACCATGCTCATGTGAATTCCTCTAAAGGTAAAGCAAAAATAATGTCTGGTTCTTTTTCAAAATGACATGTATCAGTTAATAGATCAGTTTTTTCAGCAGTTATGTGTTTTCCATCAACGGCATTATCTTTTCTAGGCTTCTTCTTAGAGACCAAACTTTCTGAATTTCCTTTCCTCTTCTTAGTCTTTGAAAACTCTGGTGTTGAGGTCAAACCATATCCACCTGAAACATAACTCCTTTTATCATCAGTTTTTTTTAACCTCTTTGCACGAAGCAGTCGACGGCGGTTCTTATATTTTGCTGAAACTTTTGTAGCTGTATCTGTGAGTCTTTTTGCGTCAAACTTTCTCAATGCAAATAAGGTTTTCTGTCCTGGTAACATGTTGCATGACTCCATTATATCAGCAATACTAGACTGCCCAACATTAAACTTTGAAATTGCCAAAAAAGACATATGGTTAGTCTTCTTTTTCCACAAAACGTTGTTTTTGGGCAAATGTGCCAAAGAACCCCATGAAGGGCTTCATTCTGATTTTGGGTAATACCCAAAAGACATCTCTTCATCAATGTATCTGCTGACAGTCTTTCAAAGATTGGTTTCAGCTCTGTAAGAAAAGCATTTGGAAGCCTCTTGCTATCATCATATGTGGCAGTACTATTTTGTTTGTCCTTAACATACTTGCACCAAGTTGTGGTATCTTGAGGGCAAAAGCTATGCTGATCCTCAAGTGATGCATTATTGTCTCTTACCATGTGCTTCAAAATAGCCATAATTGCTGATTTCATGGGCAGGAGATTTCCACTGTTTTGTCTGATTGCCTGACCATAATAGTTCTGAATGCTATCAATCTTTTTATCAGTCAACCTTCCTATTCCCCCTATTCCTTTACCATCTGAAATCTTCTTTCCCCTTGATTTTCTCTTCAACTCTCTCAAACATGTGCCCATTCTTTTTTGAACATGACCAACACATTTATCTTTAGAAACAATGTAACTTGTGTCATATGCTCTTTTAGGTGCTTCACAAACATGACTGTAGCAACCAGTATCACCATCACCAACCATTGTGGTGTATTTCAACCTACGTTTTTCAATTGATCTAAGAAACATTCTGATTGCTCCTTTAGATTCCATCTCCCCACTTGCCCCTGTGTGATTAATTGGACATAGATCCTTATGTTTCTGCCACCAGGACATGTACCTGTCTGTGTCTTTTTCCTCAGCTTCATGAGCACGACATTCAAAACAAATAACTGACAAAACTTCATAGTCAAGAACTTTACCTGTCCTTACAGATATAACACAAACAATGCCATTCTTGGATGTATATCCTCGTTTCTGCCATGTTCCATCTATTGTAATTGCAACTTTTGCAATTTTCCTGTGGTCTTTATCTTGCTCTATCTGATCCTTGTTTTCCTCTTCAGTTATTCTTCTCAATTCATTTGCTGCATTACTCATGTGAGATTCTGTTACACCAATGCACCCTCTTTCAATGGTTTTCATGCTATTATTATAGGCCCTTTTAGCTATTGGTTCTGGTAGATTCATCAAAGCGCAGAAATTCTCCAATCCAGTCAGTCCATAACCAATTGTGGCCAAAACAGATCTGCAATTTACCTCGTATGCAGTACGTCCTCCCTTCTTATCAACTCTGTCGGAAGAATGACACTTTCCACTAGATTCTAGCTCTGTTTCTGCTTGGCAGTTGCTGCAAACAAGGATTAAATGCTCTGCAAGGCCATCACTGCCAGCCCTTTTTAAACTGAATGAAGTTTTCATACTCTTACAGTGTCTACAAATTGTTGCTTTATTAATGCAGTTAATTAACAACTCCTTGTCCATTATACCGTTTCCTGATGTTGAACTGTTTCTTTTCTCCCTCTTAAGTCCAACTTTCTCAGCATATGACCTTGTTATAGCTCTTTTACTAATGCAGTAAAGTGAACCATCAGTTAGTTTTGTTTGTGAGACATTCAGCGTGTCATGAGAATCAGCTGATGTGTTTGGGCCTATGTTCCGAATGTCGTCCGTTCCTGTTTGTTCTATTTCTGAGGCCAAATTTCCAGGTTCAAATATATCTTTGGTCTTTTCTTGTCCTTCTAAGACTTCTTTTTTAGTTTTCCCCATAAAACCTTTCCTCTTTTTTCTTCTTTTTGAACGAAATTTTCGGCGATCTCCAGTTTGAGGGTTACTTTCAACACATTCGGACTCCATTTTGAAAAAAGATGCAGGTTTTGAAAAAGAGGCTCAAACTTGCTCCTTCACATCCTTAATGAAAGGAGGTGACAAATCACCCCAAAAACTGCAGAAAGCAAGTTGTCCGGGGCAAAGGGCCCCATAGCAACCAACCGATTTTGTGTTGCTATGCGTCAAAAAATTGGTACTTTCTAGAAAAATCTAAATAATCAAAAATGGAGAAGATGGATGGGAGAATTATCATCAAAAGTGAATTCTACAATAAATTTTGAGTAAGAAAGATACAAGAAAGAAAAATTGGATATTTGATCAAAATTCCAAAATTTTCAATGTATTCATCTACCTTAAAGATGGATTTTCATATTGATAAACCATGACACACATGCATGTGGTTATCTAAACTTTTGTAAAAATAAGATTTTTTAAGATTTTCACAAATCTTTGTTTTCTCATTAAAAACTTGTTAGACTATTGTAGATTAGTATCCCATGCAATAATTTGTGAAAATATTTCTGTTTTATCGATTTTGGAGAGATTTACGAGAAGCGACTTGATGTTTTCATCAGCTGATGTTTTCTACACACAGTGTTGTAAACTTTCATGATATTTCCATAACCCTTATATTCGGGCTCTGGACTCAAAACATAGGCAAACCAGACTTACTTTAAGGGAATCCTATCATGATTAAGCCATATTACTTTGGGCTACCTGTGACTTGAAATGAACAATTCTATTGAGACAGATAATTTCCGTTAAGGCTGGTTTTCATATAAACTTTTTATGAAAACCACCTATCCTAAATAATTCTAATAGAACGTAATTAAACGTAATTCAACCCAGTTCATCGGAAGAAATCAAAAAAAATTTGTTTCTCTCGACAAAATACGTTGAATTACGATGAATTAAGATGAAATAAGTTTTTCGGTTTTCATATACCGTGAAAATCATGGACCCTGAATTGCGATGGAATGCGTCGAAATACGTTATATTAAAACCAGCCTTTAGTTGTTGATCGAATTCTCTTCGCTTGCAAACTCGTAGAATCGAAATTTTGCTTCGATTATTGCTACATTCGTTTTACGACCTGGGTAAAATAAAGTGCTGGAAGTCGGAAAATGAAGTCAAGGACGAGGGTGATCGTCGATGTTTTGAAAACAACGCCTGTTGTTCCAGCCTTCATGCAAGAAAATGAGTTTGCCAGCACGAGGAAACTTCGAGCATTTGGTATAAGCATTTAGGATTTGCTAAAAAAAGAGCATAGGTTCCAAATCTTTGATTGGCTGAGCCACCAAAATTCTTCATACCCCATTAGCCAATCAGAATTCCAGAAAATGACAACAAACGTGTCTCGCAGCTAGATTTAGGCCACTACCCACTAAAAAATAAACGTTTATAATGTGCTGAAAGATAACCTAATTTGTTTTTAAAAATTGAAAAAACTGCCGTGGTCAAAATTCTTCCGCGATCGTCAGTTACGAAGGCTTGAAACTGTCCCTTTCAAACCCTTATAATAATTAGGGGGGAGGGATAACATAAAAATTACAGTTTTTAATCTTTAAAAGTTGTTCTATCAACCTAATTAACAATTATAAACTTACCTTTACAAGCCACTGTTAGAATCTTTTCTTGTCGGTATTGATGCTTGTATTACTGACAGAAAAAATCGCTAAATTTCACTGAGAGAAAATGCAGCCCATCTTTCTCTCAAAATAACTACAATTGTACAATTTCTTGTGAATTGTGACACCTTTCATGTGAATTGTGACATAATTGGACCAGTAGCCTACCATAATTACATTTTTTTATTTAAAAGAAAAATTGTATAAGAACACGAGCCTCGGAATTGAAAACAAATTTAAGAACAAGCTAAGGCTTAGCTTCTGCAAAATGCAATTTTGAACAATGTACTTTCTCAAAATCAAGGATTTTTAGCGATGTGTGGGTGCTTTTTCGGTGAATATTCAAATTTGTCAGCAAATTAAGGCTGTCTCACTCACTTTGTTGACAAAAAAGGCCTGAACACCACCCTAGAGCCAAAAAGCTAGCACTCGCACTGCTTACACCCTAGAGTATAATCCGGTTATAACGTACTTTAAGGGACTAGCGTATTAGGTACGTTATATCCGAAGTACGTTCTAAC